GTATGTCTTTTTCAGAGAAATAGCTATTCAAGTCCTTTGCTCATTTTTTAATCAAGTTGTTCGTTTTTTGTTGAGTTTTAGGAGTTCTCTATGTATTCTGAATATTAATCCCTTGCTATGTATATGATTTGCAAATATTTTCTCCCATTTCATAGGCTGCCTTTTCACTCCATTGATTGTATCTTTTGGCACATAGAATTTTCTGTTTTGATGCCAGTACCACACTGTTTTGATTACTATAGCTTGGTAATAAATTTTGGAATCAGGAAGTGTGAGACCTCCAACTTTGTCCTTTTCAAGATTATTTTGGCTATTCAGGGTCTGTTGAGATGCCATATGAATTTTTAGGATGGCCTTTTCTATTTCTGCAAAAAAATCCATTAGGATTTTTATAAGGATTGCGTTAAATCTGTAGATCATTTTGGGTAATGTTGGCATCTTAACAATATTAAATCTTCCAAACCATGAACATGGGATGTCTTTCCATTTATTTGTGTCTTTGTTTATTTCTTTCAGCAATATATTTTGCAGTTTTTAGTGTACAAGTTATTTGCCTCCTTGGTTAAATTTATTCCTATTTTATTCTTTTTGATGCTATTGAAAATGAAATTATTTTCTTAATTTCCTTTTCAAATTGTTCATTGTTAGTGTTTAGAAATGCAACTGATTTTCATGTGTTTGTATGTATCCTGAAACTTAATAGAATTTATTAGTTCTATAGATTTTGTGGAATCTTTAATGTTTTCTAAATATAAGATCTGTGAGCAAAGACAATTTTACTTCTTCCTTTCCAATTTGGATGCTTTTTATTTCTTTTTCTTGCCTAAATGCTCTGGCTCAGACTTTCAGTACTATATTAAGTAGAAGTGGTAAAAGTGGGCATCCTTGTCTTGTTCCTGATCTTAGTGGAAAAGATTGAAGTCTTTTACCATTGAATATGATGCTAGTTGTGGGCTTTTCATATATGACATTCTTATGTTGAGGTAGTTTCCTTCTATCCCTTGTTTTTGAGTGTTTTTATCATGAAAGTATGTTGAATTTTGTCAAATGCTTTTCCCGCATCAATAGAGATGATCATGTGATGTTTTTTATTTAATTTCTGTTAAAATTATCTATTGTATTGATTGATTTCTATACATTGAACCCCCTTGCATTCTAGGAATAAATCCCATTTGGTCATGGTGTATAATCCTTTTAATATATTACCGAATATTGATTGATAGATTTTGTTGAGCATTTTTGCATCAATATTCATCAAGGATATTGGTCTGTAGTTTTCTTTTCCTGTAGTGTCTTTGTCTGGTTTTGTATCAGAGTGGTGCTGGCCTCATAGAACGAGTTTGTAAGTGTTCCCTCCTCTTCAATTTTTCGGAAAAGTTTGAAGTGGCTTGGTGTTAATTCTTCTTTAAATGTTTAGTGGAATTCGCCAGTGAAACCATCTGTCCTGGGCTTTTCTTTGTTGGGAAGTTTTTGATTACTGAATCAATCTCTTACTAGTTTTTAAGTCTGTTCAGATTTTCTATTTCTTTGTGATTCAGTCTTTATATGCACCTTACTTTTTGTTAACTTAATGATATGCTTATTAAGTAAATTCTTGACAAATGTACACACAAATTACCTTGTTCTTTTTGGTATCTACATATATCACCACAATATTTTTATTTATAAGGTACTGCTCTGAACCCAATTGCTTAAATCCCCTTTCTTGGGTCTTTAGATCCATTTTTTAAATTCAGGTTTATTGAATTACAATTTGCATGCAATACAATTTACTCTTCTGAAGCATACGGTTTAATGAGTTTTGACAGATATATAAAGTTGTATAATTACCACCACAATCAAGACACAGAATATTTCCCATACCCGAAAAGTTTTTCATGCCCCTTTCTAGTTGTTTTCTTCTCCCAGGGAGCCACTGATATGTTTTCTGTCCCGACAGTATACAGTCTTTTATGTCTAGTTCTTTTCATTTAGCAAAATGCTTTTGAGATTCAGTTATGATGTTGCATGCATTTCATTCCTTTTCATTGATGAGTGCTACTCCATTGTATGAATGTGCCACATTTTGTTTAACTTGATGGGCATTTAGATTGTTTCCAGTTTTGGTCAATTGTAAATCAAAGTCCAATGAACATTCACATGTAGTTTCTTCAGTAGACAAGAGTTTTCATTTTTCTCTGGAAAATACCTTGGAAGGGGGTTGCGACGTCATAGTTCAGTGTATGTTTAACTGTATAAGAAACTACTTAATTGTTTTCCAAACTACTGGCATTCTCGGCAGCAACATGTGAGAGATCTTGTTCCTCCACATCCTCAGCAGTCCTTGGTATGTCTTAAAAAAAATTTTTTTGAGCCATTCTACTGAGCATGAGTGTTACATAATTGTGGTTTTAATTTGCATTTCCGTAATAATGAATAATGCTAAGCATCTTTTCACTTGCTTGTATTCTCTTGGTAGATCTTTTGTTATAAAAATATCTGTTCAAACTTTTGCCCATTTTTAAATACAGCTTTTGTTTTCTAATTATTGAGTTGTAAAGTTCTTTATATATTAGACATACCAGTGCTTGATCAGAAATGTATTTTGGAAATACTCTTCCTGTCTATGATTGCCGTATATTTTCTTAGTAGTAGCTTTCAAGAAGCAAAATTTACTTTATTTTGGGGCCGCCCTGGTGGCACAAGTGGTTAAGTGCACATGGTCTGCTTGGGCGGCCGAGGTTCGCAGGTTTGGATCCTGGGTGCACACCGACGCACCACTTGTTAAGCCATGCTGTGGTGGCGTCCCATATAAAGTAGAGGAAGATGGGCACGGATGTTAGCTCAGGGCCAATCTTCCCCAAGAAAAAAAAAATGGGGGAGGATTGGCATCGGATGTTAGCTTAGGGATAGTTCTCCACACACACACACACACAAATTTACTTTATTTTGATAAAGTCCAACTTATCAATTATTTTCTTTTATGGTTTATGCCTTTTGTGCCTTATATAAGAAATCTTTGCCTAATTCAAGTCACAACAATTTTATTGCATCTTTTCTTCTAGAAGTTTTATAGTTTTATCTCTTATATTTAAGTCTAAGATTCTTTTTTAGTTAATTTTATATGATATGATGTAAAGATTACAGTTCTCTTTTTTGCAAATGGATGTCCAATTTTCATAGTACAATTTTTTGAAAGACTACCTTTCCCCCTTGATTTATCTTGGCACATTTATTGAAAAATTAATTGGGTATAAATATGTTGATCTACTTCTAAACTCTATATTCTTGAATATAGAATGAAGCTTTATAACAAGTCTTATAATAAGTCTTAAGTCAGGTGGATGAATCCTCTGTATTCTTATTTATCAAAATTGTCCTTTGTGGGGCCAGCCCTGTGGCTTAGCAGGTAAGCACACGTGCTATGCTACTGGTGGCCCGGGTTCGGATCCTGGGGGCGCACCGACGCACCGCTTGTCCAGCCATGCTGAGGCAGTGTCCCACATACAGCAACTAGAAGGATGTGCAACTATGACATGCAACTATCTACTGGGGCTTTGGGGGAAAAAAAAAGGAGGAGGATTGGCAACAGATGTTATCTCAGGGCCAGTCTTCCTCAGCAAAAAGAGGAGGATTGGCATGGATGTTAGCTCAGGGCTGAATTTCCTCACACACACACACAAAAATTTGTCCTTTGTATATCTATAAAATTTTAGAATTAAGTTGTCAGTTTCTGTAAAAATAAAATCTTTTTTTTATGTGTGTTGAATCTATAGATCAATTTAGAAATAACTGATATTTTAACATTATTGAATGTTCTGATTCATGAACATGGATCCCTTCCCTTCCCCTCACATGTCATCCACATTCTGCCATGTAACAGTGTGGAATTTGAGAGCACGAATGGGCTTTCTGCTACCTCTGGCCCAGTGGCAGCAGATCCCTGCTTTACCTAGTGGCCGTGCAGACAGGGATGAGAGTAGTGGTGCTTTAGTCCTCCCCCAGCAAAAGCCTGGAGTTGGGTGTCAGAAGAATTTTGTGCCACCAGTAGCAGATAGATTTTGCTTCTACCCCTATTTCAGCAGCAGCTGACTTTTCTTTCTTTCTTTCTTTCTTTTTTTTGTGAGGAAGATTAGCCCTGAGCTAACATCTGATGCCAATCCTCCTTTTGTTTTGCTGAGGAAGATTGGCCCTGGGCTAACATCTGTGCCCATCTTCCTCTACTTTCTATGAGATGCTGCCACAGCATGGCGTGACAAGCGGTGCTTTGGTGCGTGCCTGGGATCCAAACCTGTGAACCCAGGGCCGCTGCAATGGAGGGCACGCACTTAACCGCTATGCCACTGGGCCGGCCCCGGCAGCAGCTGACTTTTGCCTAGGACCAGTGGAGACTAGAATTTCTTACCCCACCCCATTGGCAGACAGCTATTGTTTCATGTGGGAGAATAGTGCATGCTACTGTTTTTGTAACTATACCCCAACAGTCGACTATCAGCTATCTTATATCTTCTGCACCAGCTATCTTGTATCTCCTTCCTCCTCCCTAATCTTTCTTATGAGTTCCTGGCAGGGGCCCATAGAAAAGAGCTGGTAAGTGAATGCAGACTTTCCTTATGTTTGAGGCTCCCAGGTATAATAAACTGTATAATGAACACTAGTTTACACTCCCGTTAAGAATTTTTTAATTTTTGTTGTTTCCTTTTTACTTGCATTTATGGCTGTGACCTCTTCCTCTCACGCTTGGTAAAAGGTGAAACAGTTCTTTTCTCAAGTCTTTTAGTGAAAGGGTGCTTGTTATTCTTTATAATTTAGTTTACATTGTTTCCTTGTTATCTCCCTCTGATAGCTTCAAGTTCCATTAGTCTATGTGTCTGTTATTATGCCAGTTCCATGCTGTTTTGATCACTATAGCTTGGTAATATTTGAAATCACAAAGTGTGATGCCTCCTGCTTTGTTCTTGCTCAAGATTGCTTTAGCTATATGAAGGATCATAAGAGATTACTATGAACCAGAAAATTACTATACACTAACAAATTGGATAACCTAGAAGAAGTGGTTAGATTCCTAGAAACATACGACCTATTAAGACTGAATCATGAAGAAATAGAAAATCTGAACAGATCAATAATGAGTAATGAGATTTAATAAATAATCAAAAACTTCAGAACAAAACAAAGTCCAGAGCCAGACGGCTTCTGTGATGAATTCTGACAGATATTTAAAGAAGAATTAATCCAATCCTTCTCAAACTGTTCCAAAACAATGAGGAGGAGAGAACACTTCCAAGCTCACTTTACGAGGCCAGCATTACCCTGATACCAAAGCCAAAAAAATACACTACAATAAAAGAAATTTACAGACCAATAACCCTGATGAACATAGATGCAAAAATCCTCAACAAAATACTAGCAAACTGAGTTAAAGAGCACATTAAAAGCACACCATGATAAAGTGGGATTTATACCTCAAATATAGAGATGGTTCAACCTATGCAAATCAATAAATATGATACACCACATTGACAGAATGAAGGATAAAAGTTATATGATCATATCAATAGATGCAGAAAAAGCATTTGACAAAATTCAACATCCTTTCATGATAACAACACCCAACAAATTAAGTATAGAAGGAATGTACCTAAACATAATAAAGGTCACATATGAGAAGTCCACAGCTAACATCATACTCAACAATGAAAAGCTGAAAGCTTTTCCTATAAGATCAGGAACAAGACAAGGATGTCCACTCTTCTTCTTCTATTAACTCCTACTTAACATAGTACTGGAAGTCCTTGCCAGAGCAATTGGGCAAGAAGAAAAACTAAAAGACATTCAAATCAGAAAGGAAGAAGCAAAACTGTCTCTGTTTGCAGATGACATGATCTTACATATCAAAAGCCCTAAAAACTATGCCAAAGAACTGTTAGAACTAATAAACAAATTCAGTAAAGTTGCAGGATACAAAATAAACATACAAAAATTAGTTGTATTTCTATATACTAACAATAAATGATCTGAAAAAGAAATTAGGAAAACAATCCTATTTATAACAGCATCAAAAAGAATAAAATACTTAGGAATAAATTTGCCCAAGGAAATGAAAGATCTATACACTAAAAACTATAAAACACTGATGAAAGAAATTGAAAAAGTCACAAATAAATGGAAGGACATCCCATGTTCACGGATTGGAAGAATTAATTTTGTTAAAATGTCCATAATACCCAAAGCAATCTACAGATTCAATGTAATCCCTATCAAAATCCCTATCGCATTTTTCACAGAAATAGAAAAATAATCCCAAAATTCATATGGAACCACAAAAGACCCCAAATAACTAAAGAAATTAAAAAAAATTTTTTTTTTTATTTCCCATAGCCACCAATGTTTCAATGAATGTCTCTATATGTGTATCTTGAGGTGATTTTGCTGATTTTTCTGTATAGTAAGTTCTTAGCAATAGAAACATTGAGTTAAATAATGTGTGAATTTTCAATTTTGGTATACTTTGCCAAATTATCATCCAGACTTCATCAGTTTATACTCCCACCAATAATTTTTGAAATTACCTATTTTTTCTACCCTTACCAAGATTAAATATAATCAAAATTGTCATGATTTGCTACTTTTCAACAGAGAGAATTAAGTTGTTTTTATTTTGATTTATATTAATTTTGCCATGGCAAGTGTTAACCAACTCTTCTGTGTTTATTGGTCATATTTACTTACAATTCTCCAAACTATCTGTTTATATCTTTTTCATTTTCTATACACCTTTTCTTATCAATTTATAAAAGATTTTCAAAAATAAAATTAAGCTTTTGTTTATAGTTTATTTTCTCTTGTTTTTTGACTTTGTTCATGTAGTCAAATTTATCAATTATTTACTTTATGGCTTAAATTTCTGTGACCTGCTTAGGAAGGCTGTCATCTCTAAGATTATATGAAGATTCAGTGATTATTTTGTACGGAATTTATACTGTTTCCTTTTAAAACTTTGATGTAAAAAAAATAGGTAATAATATAATTTCATATCATATTTGTATGGCAAGCTAGCTGTCTCAAAACAATTGACTGAATATTCCATATTTCTCCAAGTAATTTGAATGCCATCTTTATCATGTATTTAATCTCCATATTTATTTATCTATTTTTTATCTAGGACCAAAGGGTTTTAATTATTGTGACTTTTAATACTCCTTGGCTACTGCTTTCTCAATATTATTACTTCTCAGAATTTTCTTATCTATTCTTTATATTTATTTATTTATATATGCTAGTATTTTTCCAATTTCTAAAAAATTTTCATTAATGTTTTTATCAGTATAACAATAAATTTATACATTGATTTAGAGATGATTGCCATTTTTATAATACTTGAGTCTATAAAATGATACTTGAAGAATACTTTCCATGTATTTAAATCAGCTTGTTTTCAGAAGACCTTATACAAGTTTCTTTTTGTCATGCACATTTCTTATTAATTTTATTCCTAAATAATTTCATATTAGTCTACTCAGGCTACCATAACAAAATACCAGGGACTGGGTAGTTTAAACAACAGAAATTTACTTTCTCACAGTTCTATAGGCTGGAAAATCCAAGATAAAGGTTCTGGTTAGGTTTGGTTTCTGGTGAAATCTCTCTTCCTGGCTTGCAGATGGCCACTTCTTGCTGTGTCCTCACATGGCAGAAAGAAAGAGTGGGCTTTTTGGTGTCTCTTCTTATAAGGACACTAATTCTATATGATTAGGGCCTCATCCTTATGACATCATTTAAACTTAATCACTTTCTTACTCCAAATACAGTCACATGAGGGATTAAGACTTCAACATATGAATTTGGGGGGGAGGAGACAATTCAGTCCATAGCATTCCACCCCTGGCCCCCCAAATTAATGTGCTTCTCACATGCAAAATACATTCATTCTGTCTCAATAGCCCCAAAGTTCTTAACTCATTCTAGCATCAACTCTAAAATCTAAAGTCCAAAGTCTCATCTAAATATCATCTAAATCAGGTATGAGTGTAACTCCAGGTAAGATTCATCTTGAGGCAAATTCCTCTCCACCTTTGAACTTGTGAAACCAAAGTTGTGTGCTTCCAAATTGCAATAGTGGGACAGGCATAGTATAGACATTCCCATTCCAAAAGGGACAAATATAAAAGAAGAAAGGAGTGACAGATCCCAAGTAGTCCAAAATCTAGCAAGAAAAATTTCTTTAGATCTTAAGACTATAGAATAATCCTCTTTGGCTCAATGCCCTGACTTCCAGAACCACTGGCAGTCCTACCCCATGGCTCTGCCAGTGGGGGTTGAAAACCCAAGGCTCCAGGAATCCCTGCCCCCAGGGCTCTGCAGAGTAGGATCCATCCCCATGGCTCTGGTTGGAGGCTGTCTGGCCCATTGAAACTGAAGCAGTGACCCTACACTTTGAAAGCAAGGAGGCAGCCCTGGTGATCTCTAAATTATCTTTGCAGCTGAATAGCTCCGTGGTTCATTACTATAGGATCGAAGAAGTTTGACAACCTTTCTTCCTGTTCTTTCATTTCATCTCATTTTTTCTATCCTTTTTAGTCCCAGTTGGCAATGCTGATTAGGTCCATGAGTAGCACCGATGATCTCTTTATCAAATGGATGTTCAGCCACACCCTTAGTGTTCTCTTCAGAATAAGCTTTCTCATTTCTTTGTAATTTGGATAGGCTGAAAATTTTCCAAATCTTTGAGTTTTAGTTCCCTCTTGCTTAACAATTCCTTCTTCAATTCATTTCTCTCTTCTCACATTTTGTCATAAGCAGTCAAGAGAAACCAAGCCACTGCTTCAACACATTGCCTAGCTAAATAGCTAATTTCCTTTTTTGCAAATTCCACCTTCCATAGTACACAGAAACACAGTTCAGTCAGGTTCTTTACCATCATATAACAAAGATCACCTTTCCTACAGTTTCCGATAAGCTGTTCCTCATTTCTGTCTGAGACCTCATCAGAATGTCATATTTCTACCAACATTTTGTTAAGGCAATATGAGCTTTTTCTAGCATGTACCTCAAAACTTCAGACTCTTCTCATCATCCAGTTTCAAATTTATTTCTATATTTTTAAGTATTTGCTACGGAAGCACCCCACTTCTTGGTACCAAAATCTGAAGTAGTCAGCTCAAGTTGCCAGAAAAAATAGAGAAACTGGGGACCAGCCGGGTGGTGCAAGTGGTTGGGTGCTCGCCCTCCGCTGCGGCAGCCCGGGGTTCAGCAGGTTGGATCCTAGGCACGCACCGATACACCGCTTGTCAGGCCATGCTGTGGCGGCGTCCCATGTAAGGTGGAGGAAGATGGGCATGGATATTAGCCCAGGGCCAGTCTTTCTTGGCAAAAAAAAAGGAGGAGGATTGGCAGATGTTAGCTCAGGGCTGATCTTCCTCACACACACACAAAAAAAATAGAGAAACTGAGTGTTTTAAGCAACAGAAATTTATTTTTTACAGTTCTGGAGGCTGGAAAGTCCAAGATCAATGTTCCAGCAGAATTTGGTTTTTGGTGAGAGCTCTATTCCAGGCTTGCAGATGGCTGCCTTCTTGCTGTGTGCTCAAATGGCAGAGAGAATGAGTTCTCTAGTGGCTTTTCTTTAAGGATACTAATCCTTTTGGAGTAGGACCCACTCTTATTACCTCATTTAACCATTATTACTTCCTTACTCCAAATACAATCACACAGGGGGTTAGAGGTTCGACATATGGATTTTGGGGAACACAACATATTCAGTGCATAGCATATTCATCTTTTATGTTACTATTATAAATGGGAGCTTTTCTTTCATTTTATTTTTATAGAAAAATCATGAAACTTTGTATTGATTTTATAATGACCAATCTTAATATGTTATCTTAAAATTTCTAATAGTTTTGTGATAAAATATCTTGGATTTTCTAGGTATAAAATCATAGTATCTGAAAGTAATATTTTTTCTGATTCAACATTTTTATCTTATATTTTTCTCTTGTCTAATTGCGTTGCCTAGTACTCCTGGAACATTATTAAAATATAGTGATGATAGTTGGTACCCTTCTTTTTACATGAGAGGAAAATGAGAACCAGACAAATTGTTACTTTCTCAAGGGTATACATAAAGCTATTTCCAGAGAAGGAAAAATACCA